GTCAGGGTCTCCCTGTAGCCCCAGCTGGCCTGGAACTCACCATGTAGACAAGGCTGGCCTTGAACTCACAGAGATCCGCCTGCTTCTGCCTCCCGAGTGCTGGGATTAAAGGTGTGCGCCACCACGCCCAGCCTAATTCTCTTAAAATTTATTAGTATGCGAGTGTGTACATGTGCACATGCACATGTATGTGCCACAGTGCACATGTGGAGGCCTGAGTTCAATTTTATGGAGTCAGTTCTCTCCTTCCACTTCTCTGTGGGTTCTGGGTTTTGAACTCCAGTCATCAGGCTTGCACATCAAATGATGGTATCCATCTTCTTGATCCCCTCATCTTTTTTTTTTTTCGGTCTTTTTGAGACCGGGTCTCCCTGTAGCCCCAGCTGGCCTAGAACTCATTGTGTAGACCAGGCTGACCTTGAACTCACAGAGATCCACCTGCCTCTGCCTCCAGAGTGCTGGGATTAAAGGTGTACACCACCACGCCTGGCCTTGGTCCCCTCATCTTAATCCTCTACAGGGTATTACTACCTACTTAAATGGCCTACATACTTTTTTAAAAGATTTGTTTTTTAAATTTAGGTATATCTATGTGAGCCTGAGATTATGTGTATCACGTTGCAAGCATGAACCCAAGGAGTCTAGAAGTCATTGGATAAACTGTAGGCAGGTGTGAGCTGCCACGTGGGTACTAAGAAGTGAACACAGGTCCCCTGGGTCCCCTGAAAGAGCAGCAAGTGCTCTTAATCACTGAGCCTTCTCTCTAGTCCCCCAATACCTGTATTTTATTAAGAAAACTAAGGGGATTCAGGCAAGGTGGCACATGCCTTTAATCCCAGCACACAGGAGGCAGAGGCAAGCAGATCTCTTTGAGTTCAAGGCCAGTCTGGTCTATAGGGAATTCCAGGCCAGTTGGGGCTACAAGGAGACCCTGTCTCAAAAAAACAAAACATCAACAATAACAAAACTAAAGGGTCTAGAGTGAGGGCTCAGCAGTTAAGAGTGCACACTGTTTTTACAGAGGACCCACATTTGGTTCCCAGCACCCATGTTGGCTGTTAACAGCCACCTGTAACTCCTTCCCAGGCACCATACCCACACCCACACCCACACCCACACACCTTCCCACAACACAGTTTAAAATAATAAAAATAAATCTTGGAGCTGGAGAGATGGCTCAGTGGTTAGGAGCACTAGCTACTCTTGCAGAGGACCTGGGTTTGATTCCCAGCACCCACATGGCAGCTAACAACCATTTATAACTCCAGTAAACAGGAAGTCTTTTGACTTCCTTGGGCATTACACAACACAGGTACACTTGTATACATGCAGACAATACACTCACTCATACACACAAAATAAAATAAAAAATCATAATCTTAAAAAAAGAAGTAAGGACTACGGGGAGCCAAGTATTCAGGTCTGTATAACTCTAATATCTTTTCTGGGCCCTTTTTTTTTCTTCGTTAGTCTCTCTGTCTCTGTCTCAGTCTCTGTCTGGATATTAAACCTAGGACTTTGTACATGCTAAGCACACACTCTACCCTGAGCTATGACCCCTATCCCCAAAAGTTTATACTTTTCAACTGCTTTACAATGGAGATAGAAAGTCAAGGTTAGAGGGTTTTCCCAGTGACTTCTAACAAGTACTTATCTCCGTATGGGAATACTGGCTCTGATCCTAGTGTTGGTGTTACCTTCATACTATATAAAACCAATAGAACCAATAGATACAATGGCAATACAACATAGTGTTCTCAGGGCCACAGTATGACAAATGATGGTTTTGATATTCTGCTTAAGTGACCATGCCTGATTACAGAGACTGATAGTGTGGCAATTATGACTCAGCCTGTGGGTGGAGTGAAGGTGGAGAGTGAGTTACACAGACTGCAAGCAAGGTAAAATAAGTTGCTTTAAGACTGTGTTCACAATTTCTGAGGTGACACATTCGATATAAATTACTGCTAGAGAAGACAAAAAGGGAACTGTAAGCATGCTTTCTCTTCTCTTCTGCAAGAGTAAAATATTTAACATGCACATTGATTCAATGAAAACTACAAAGCTACGGCCCCTGTAATAGTTACTGGATTCCTAGGATGGTTCATGTTTGGGACCCAAGGGCCACTGGCAAACCTGGCACTAGGGAGTCATATACTAGCATGCATTATAAGTATCAGTCAGAAGTGGTAATTCTCATCAGCAGCTCTTTAGGTTTGTAAGGAAATTACCTAGTATTATAATGGACAACTAAAAAATTCCCTTTCACAATAGTGAGTCGCCACTGGGTTCATAGAAAGATATCTAAAAGCAGATCAGTCTTTTCAGATGAACCAGTAATTCAATTTAGTCTTTATCAACATGTATACACAACTTAGCTGTGTCTTCTACTGTTGTCTAAATAGTCAAAACTTCACAGAGCAGAGAGGAATCTGTCCAATGGACTTAACCTCTCTAAGACCCTCGCTGGTAATCTCAGCTAGGCTACATGGGATAATTTTTTTTCTTAGTAGTTTAGAAAGAAAAGCTGCTATTTTATTCTATTACTGATTAGGAAAAGGGCTAAATTAAATATTACTCTTCAAGGCTGTTCCAATTTAAATATCTCCATAAAGCATTTTTTTTCCCCCTTTTTGAGACAGGGTCTCCCTGTGGCCCTAACTGGCCTGGAACTAGCTATGGAGACCATGCTGGCCTCAATCTCACAGAGATCTGCCTGCCTCTGTCTCCATAGTGCTGGAATCAAAGGTGTGTGCCACCACACCCAGCAGCAAAATAGATTTTTTAAAAATCTTAAAAGGATGGGGCTGGAGAGATGGCTCAGCAGCTAAGAGCCCTGGCTGCATGTATGCCACCACATCCAGCAGTAAAATGTACTTTTTAAAAATCTTGCCAGGTGTGGTGGTGCATGCTTTTAATCCCAGCACTCGGTAGGCAGAGGCAGGCAGATCTCTGAGTTCAAGGCCAGCCTGGTCTACATAGGGAGCTCCAGGCCAGTTGGGGCTATAAGGAGACCCTGTCTCAAGAAGAACCCCCTACCCCCAAAAATCTTAAAGGATGGGTCTCAGCAGTTAAAAGCACTGGCTGCTCTTGCAGAGGATTCCCAGCATCCACATGGAGGCTAACAACCATCCGTGTAACTCCAGTTTCAGGGGATCCGACATCCTCTTTGACCTCCATGGACATTACACAGCTGGGTGCACTTACATACATGCAGGCAATATACTCATACCCAAAATATAAAAATAATAAAATAAAAATCTTTAAAAAATATTATTTTTATTTTATGTGTATGAGTGTATTGTCTGCATGTATGTGAGTGCACCCGTGTCGTGCAATGCTGCGGAGGTCAGAAGAGGGCTTCAGATTCCTGGAAGTGGAGTTAAGGATGGTTCGTAGCTGCCATGTGGGTACTGGAACACATGACACTGTCTCAAAAAGGCAAAAAAAAAAAAAAAGTTATACATATTAATTAAAGTATAATGTGGTACATACAAATACTAGCAATTAAGAAAAGTTTTAGGGGGCTAGAGAGATGACTCAATGGTTAGGAGCATTGACTACTCTTACAAAGGATCTGGGCTTGAGTCTCAGCACCCACATGGCAACTAACAACTGTCCTGTAACTCCAGTTCCAGGGGAATGCAACACCCTCTTCTGACCTCTGCAGGCATTGCATGACACGAGTACACTTAAACACATGCAGACAATACATTCATACACATAAAATAAATAATTAAAAAATTTAAAAATAAAAAAATTTTTTTTTTGGTCTTTTTGAGACAGGGTCTCCCTGTAGCCCCAGCTGTCCTAGAACTCACTATGTAGACCAGGCTGGCCTTGAACTCACAGAGATCCACCTCCCTCTGCCTCTGCCTTCCAAGTGGTGGGATTAAATGTGTGCGCTACCACACCCGGCTTTTTTCTAATTTTTAAAATGCTTTTTTATGTGTATGAACTTGTGATCTTCCTTCAGCCTTCTGAGTTGTGCCCAACTTGATTTAATAAGGCACTTCTGAACACCCTCTATGAACAGTGCTAGAAGGAGAGCGATACGAATGGTCTCTGCCTTCTAATTGCTGGACTAAAATAGATATATGAAACTTCTGAGCAACAACACAAAGCAATAGTCTATGCCTGGTCTTCCTGTCTCTAGCTTCTCCATCATGTGATCCAAAAGACTGCATTCTACTCCACGCTCCCCTTTTGAAGACCTCTGGTATTTCAATTCAGTCTACAATATGAAATCTGTTCTTGATCTGAAATTCAGGCCTCCATAATGCAAAGTTAAACATCTCTAACCTCACATCCTATGACTTCTGGACAAATTAAGCTTCTGCTTTCTACAATGTCTGCTGTTCTCTGAACAGATCATGTGCACCCCCTATCTCATTTTCCCTCTCTCTTACTTTTTTTCCTCAATCTATCCTTGACTTCTATAGCCCCGATTAAATTCATGGTCTAGGACCTCTTCCATCAAGCATTCCATTGCTACCTCAGTCAATGAAATGCTCTTAACTGGTTTAACCTCTGTGGCACACACATGCTATAGCTTTCCTTTTGAGTACACAGCATATACTACACCTTGCATTTTTATGTTCTTGTGTCTGTGTATGTGTGTTGTATGTGTGACTGCATTACACTTTTTTTTTTTTTTTGGTCTTTTTTTTTTTTTTTTTGGAGACAGGGTCTCCCTGTAGCGCCAGCTGACCTGGAACTCGATATGTAGACCAGGCTGGCCTTGAACTCACAGAGATCCACCTGCCTCTGTGCCTCTGCCTCCCAAGTGCTGGGAATAAAGGCATACACCACCACGCCCAGCTGTATTATACTTTTATATGTTGTTTTACAGCCCTGTGTAAATAAGGATTTACACAGAATAAGCTTGCTGTAGTTGTTAAGACTGAATCAAGTGAACATACCCCTTTAGACAAGTTAGAAAACACTTCACTAACCACATACTTCAAATCTATATATCTGAAACCTTTAACCCTTTCTTCTTCACAAATTAGTATAAGCCTTTTGCCCTAAATTCAGGTTTCTCTTTCATTCCAACCCTCGCCATACCCAGGTTCCGGAAGACAAAGCTCAATACTCACAGTGAACTTTATTTGGATTTGTCTGTTTCCGACGGGACATGTTTCCCTAATACAAAAGCTCTGGTCTTTCCCAGTTTCACCACTGGATATGTCACTGTCTCCTTATAAGTTGCTAACCTGTAATAATAAAAAGCAAAAGGATATTGTTAGCATATCATTTTCCCCAGAACTATACAATATTAAAAGATTTAAAGACATTTAAAAATACCTCTTGAGCATATAAAACTCACCGGTATAAATAACTGAATGAAATGTAAAAAGCAAATAAATCTCTAACCCACTGTTAAAGTCCTAAGAAGTTTAAGAGGGGACTGCTTTTAGAGAACTTAAGAGAATTCTAAAGCCATCTTTGGAATCAGAATGCTATTAAATGGTTACAGTCAAGGTGACAGGACAGGAAAAGATGCAAATTCAATTTCAAAGTAATGTGGGCTAAGGAATAACTCCCATGGACTGTGAGAGCAAGCAAAAGGAAACCAAAGACCCCTAGCAGCTGAACTATCACATGCCCAACTGGAAGGCAAGGCCAGCAATCTGCACCTCTAACATGTTTTTTGAAGTTAAGTTGCCTAGTAACAATGGTATCACATCCCTGGGATGCAGACACAGTCACGCACCATGGATGATGGCACTAAAATCAAACTTCCAGTATTGAAGGCTCTCACCAGAAGTGCAGACAACATGCACATTGTGGAGAACTAATCTAGTGCCCCATTGTGGAACACCAATCTGGCCTGAAAGAAGGCTTCACATGCTCTGAAGAAGTAGTCAAAGTTTATAATTTTCAGCTTCATTTCAAGCCTGCCTGTATAGCAAGATCAGGGAGGAATAAAGAGAAAAGCTCCCTATACAAGAAGAGCAGCAGAGATACAAGCAGTGCATCTGCCCCCCCTGATATAGGAAGTTACTTAAGCCTGGAGGTTCCCAGTTACCTTACCAGAAAGAATGGCCCTGTCTCGTATTGCAAGAGAATCTGAAATGGATTAGCAGCAGAAGCTGTGATCCCCAGGTGAGGGGAGGGCTGGGGGTGTGATTCAGTGGCAGACCACTTGCCTAGCATGTGTCAAGCCCTGGGTTCAATTCCCAATACAAGACAAACAACACCATCATGAATAAACATAAAGGAGAGTTTCCTTTCAGTTCCTGTCTTCTTAAATTGCACTCACATATAGGAACACAGAGTTTATTGCCTTGAGAAGAACTGTGAGAAACTATTACTAGCTGTGCTGTACACTCACTCCAGTTAATGAAGACTCACCTCCTGCTAATATCAACAAACTCCTCTATAGAGCTAGAAAGGACCTCAAACCTGTAATCAGATCCTGCCTCCCCTTACCAAAAGAAAGAAACCACAAATGGCAAAGACAGGCCTCCACAGGAAGTGGTACAGGAGGCAGCTTTCAGGCAGTCTTCTATCATATCTGCGTATCAAACATAGTTCTTTTTCAGACCTTCAATTAAAAAAAGAAAGCTCCTAATATGTACAAAGAAACCAATTTTAATTAGAGAGCAGTAAACTGATGTCTCATATCAATAGTATATATTTTCTGTTTTTCTTTTGTTCTTATTCTTCTTGCAGACAGGGTCTCAAGTATCTTAGACTGGCCCTAAACTAGATGTGTATCAAGGATGACCTTAAACTTCTGATACTCCTGCCTCTGTCTCCTAAGTGCTGAGATTATAGGCAGGTGCTCCTATGACCAGTTTTATATGGTGCTGGGCAATGAACTTAAAGCTTTGTGCATACTAGGGTGGGCTTTGTGCATGCTGGGCACAGTACCAACTGACCTAAATCCTCAGCCATCAGTGTGTCCCACTGGCTCCTACTCTTTTTTTGAAGATGGTGTTGCAATGTTGCCCAGGCTGACCCAGCACCCCTGGACTCAAGTGATCCTCTGGTCTCAGCCTCCTGAGTAATGGAATTAGAGATGAGTATTAGCACACCGGGCTTATTTTTCTAGTCATTATTGATACAAATCGTGAATGAGTATCACACTTAGCTCTTTTTCTATATATGGAATCACAAAGTTGAGAGCTGAATTAAGTGCAGATTGTCTATTGTTTTCTACACTTCTCTATTGTATAAAGAGAAACAAATGGAATCTCATTTACACTTTCTCATTAAGAGCCGAAATTGAAGCTGGTAAAGGTAATGAAGTCTATCTGAAGGAATACAAATAACTGTAGTCGGGCTCTATTCAGTTCACCTTGGCAAGTACTAAAGCTACCAGGCAAAGAGAGTAAACATGCAGCTACAAGACTACATATTTTAAGAGGCAGCCAGCGTCCAGTCTCTAACAGTCCTCCTAGTGGCCTAATGGGGAACTGACCAGATGGTACCTCAGGAGACTTCACACCTGAGGGATCAAAGAAAAAATAAATACCTTCCCCTCCCGCAAAACAACAATAAAAGACAAAATGCCCACCAGAAAAAGGCCTTGGGGAGGTCATGGACTCCTGAAAATAAATAAGGACATAAATAAAGGGCATTCCAGACCCAAGCAGCACCGGAGGTTAGAGTTTTTATAAGAGGCAAAAACAAAAACATCCACAGGCATATTTTTGGAAGGTCACTGGGCCGCTTTACTTTAAGTACTGCCTCCGTTTTCAAACCCAGATGTGAAACTAAACCAGTCATGTATCTGGATAGCTAGCTGTCTGATCATCATTAGCTGGAAGGAAACCGGAATGAGAAGGAAGGTAAACTGAGGATCCGACCTACACAGGATTCTATTTTAAGAGGAAGCAGTTTTGTCAAGAGTCCTCGGAACGGTGCATCGCCTCGTCTGCTCCCCCACAGGTGTTAGCAGCTTCCAGTGCACACCAGACTTTAGCAAGAAAAAAATGGATGAAACGCCAGCCTTAGAAAAGAGGGTGCACTCCCACCTCCAGCTCTGGTGCGGTTCCCTCGGAGCAAAGTACATTCGCCTGAGTCCCAGGGATGAGAATCTGCCAACAAGAAGACAACAAGAACGCTGGTCCTGCGGCCGCTCCACGGTGCCCCGCTTCCCCGGGTCGGGGCTGCTGCAGCCGAGGACCGGCAGCCGCGATGGAGCACAGGTAAACCCCAAGAATCCGTCAGGAGCCGGAGGGCTCCCGGGCGGCTCGCACCAACCTCAGACCACAGTCTTCTCGGAGTCTAAATTTAGCAGCTCCCGTGAGCCCGCGCCCTGGGACCCGCACCGGCCCCCGCCCCGTCCGCTCTCCCACGCCCATGCTCCCCTCCCCCAGCTCCACCCAGACTGTCAGACGCGTCGCCCGGCCGCCGGACCCGCGAGGCCGACTCTGGCCCCGCCGTGGAGGACCCGGCCCCCTCCCCGCACCCGGCAGACAAAGGCCGGCGGCTACGCGGGCGGACGGGCACGCGGGGGCGGGGGCGGCGGCGGCTCGGGGTGCTCTTTACCCGCAGC